TTGAGCTGATTTTACTTGTAAGCTTTCAGGTAAGACTGTTGAATTTTCCCATTCTAAAATTTCAAAACAATAATGTACCACAGTTTTCATGATGATTTCAGCTCTTCGAACAAGATCAGGATTTAACCTGTTTTTTGGGTCTTCCTCTTCACCAGCCTATGTTTATAGAAAAGCAATGTTAGTGATATTAATCCAGTTTTTTCAATCAAATTGCAATCGAAATTGTGACATCCTTGAAATTACCTTTTGACTTCCCTTAAGATGCTCATCACAGAAGACATGTGCTCTCCAAGCTTCGGAATCCCCGCAGTCACAGTAGCCTCCACCTGAGCTCATACACATTTTGTATTTATGATTACGATGAGCGCTGTTGAAGATAAATAGAAATAAAGGGATAAGTCTAAATTTTTTTCTCTTTGATACTGATATCAATATTAATACATAAGAGTTGACAGTAACGTTATTTGTCCTTCACCATTCTATTTATATAGTCAAGTTTAAGAAATCATTAGGAAAAGCCAATGGGTGATATAGAAAAAGAATGATGAAGGTTCACAAACCAATGCTGTTACTTACCTTCGTTTAAAACAGTCCACGCAAAGGACACAGGAAGCATCAAGCCCACAGTCCCGACAAGAGTAGACTGGTTCCCCATTTTTGAACATTTTACCACAAAGCATCGGATCGGCATCAGTTTTTTTGAGGTTTTCACATACTTCTTTGGGATTATCACTTAAAGTCAAGAATTGTTCCAAGGGTAAAAGAAGAGTCGATTTTGCTTTCTCTTCATCAAATTGAATATTTAAACAGTTACAATCTCGAGATGGACTATAGATTTTAGGAACTGTGCGAGCCCAGTAAGAACGAATATCGGTAGCAGTCAATATTCCTTGCTGAAGTTTAATCATCCACTCAATAACAATAGGTTGTAAGGTTTGATCCGTTATTATTTGCTCTTCCATCTTGGACCCTTCCATTTTCTTCTATATCAAGATGTGAATAGATGGATGATGGATTTTTCTTTCAGTTTGTTAAACTAATTCAGGAAGAAACCAAATAGAAAATCACATTTAAAAATATATAAAGTTACAAAGAGGTTTGCTAAAAAAAGATGGAGTAAACTGAGATCTCAAATCATAAATGGTGATGATGTAAACTGCTTGTTTAGCTTGTAGTGATGATGATGATAGGGAGGATGAGCAATTGAAAATAAGATATTAGGTGATTTAAAGAGTAACATTGACAACAAAGTTCCCTTGATGGACAAGAGGTATGATTTAAATGATAATCACCCAAATATACTTACTTGACGCTGTCTTAGTAAGGTTTTTCAATAAAAGATTAACTAGATTAATAATCCAAAAATCCATTTACACGCATGTCCAAAAATCTCCTTTATATCAATTCAATGGTTTGTTTTAACAATTCAACAATACAGCTACGAAAATTGAGTTTGTGCTTATTTTTCAAACACAGTAAAGTGCCAGATGATGTCACTCCCGTGAAATAGCTTATGTACAAAGCAATGGCTATTCAATGAGCAAAACAAGCGTAATTAATAAAAAGAGAGTCGCATCTCAGAGACTGCATTACTCGCAAAATAGCTTATTTGCACTATTTGTCGGGCAGCGAATCCATAATTTTCAATTTTCCTTAATACACTGCTCCTCAAGAGACCACATGATTTTTATCTTAATTTCTAATTTTTAAGTAATCCTTTCAATTCTTTCTGATTGGATTAGTCTGTCAACAAAATTTTCCAACTTTTTTCTCTGTGTTAAAAAACGTTTTATTGTGAAAACAGTGTCCCAACGTGTTAATGAACGATACTCGACACTTATTTCCGCATCTTTCACACAGCATCACGCGCACGGATCTACGAGTACAAACCTATTTAGCTTTGTATGAGACGTGCATTTGATGGGTTGAAGTTAATTTAGAACTGAAAGTCGTAATCTGAAGATAAAACTAAACATAAAACTAAACGAGCTTAAACATTTGAGAAAATCGACAAGCGAAAGGTGTTTAAATGACTCAAATTTTATTATGATTATAAGGGAATGAAATTATGAAAAAATGACAAATTGACATGTAACTGAATTGCTTTATGAAAATTATCAAATTATCTTTTACAATATTTAAATTAAACATTTCCTTTTTCTTGGAGGCTCTGGCTCTGACTCTGACTCCGACTCTGTCTCTAGTTCTAGTTCTGGTTGTTCATACTTCACATCCAATCTCGTGATTTCCACAACTGGTTCTTCCGTGGCTGCGTGCGGGTTTATGGCATAGTCAGGATTAAATTCACAAATGTAAACAAAAGATTTAGATTTATCCTTCTTGGTTTTCCTGGCTAAAACTCTATATTGATGTTTGTGCTGCGCACCAATAAGATCACTGATTTCAATAGAAACCCCGATGCTCTTCAACTCGTTCTTAAACTCTTCAAACTTTTCTATGGGTATAATGCACATTTCATTTAACAAAAGAGACTGAAATTGCCCAAAAGTGAATTCCGCTATATTTGCAGGATGAAAAACATAACTTATGTCTCCTGCATTTCGCTCGAATGTTTTGAATTTCAAAGTAGATAAATTTATCTCTTTTTTCTATTGACTTGAAAAGTCTTATTGTTTGGACCAACACAATAGAGTTTCTTTCTGAAATCTCCGTGTGAAAATATTATATCATAATAATTGATACTATTCACCTTATATTCTTTTTCATATAACTTAAACTCCTGACACGTAGTATCTTTGGGCACATAAGAAGTGAACATAAATAAAAAAACACCAAACATAAAAGAAATACAAAATTAATGGAAAAGAACAAAAAACAATATCATGATCAAACAGGTTACGCACATGGTTGGACCCTATCATTCAAATAAATGGCTCATAATTTCATGCAAAAGACTGTGATTCATTTATTTAACTTATTTTTAAATATTTAGACTCAACAATTTTAATCAATAATTGGACTTTATTTAATGATTAAATCGTATGTTTATTAAATGGTAGAAATAATGATGGTGTGAATTTTGCAGCACAAAAAATTGAACTAAATCAGCAAAGATTGGCTACCGTTTGCTAGCTCTCAAAAACTTGACACAATCTGATGGTCCATGGGTTTTTCCATAGACTAAAAAACATGTTTGACAAAATTTATATTTTGTTTTTTGAACAAAAACAGCTTTCTTTTCACGAGTAGCATCAACTGTTATCTTGAGATTTGTACCAAATGAGTCCATTGGAGTTTAATTACAAACGCAAATGAAATTTTTGAATCCAGCATTTGATTTGATGTGAGATAACCATATTTCTCCAGGTGGATACTTTTTCAAATATTATATCATTTCAATTTGCTCGTCCTTTGAAAGATAACCTTTCTGCTGCAAAAGCCAATGGTGAGCGATTCCAGAAAAATACCTTTTTCACTAAAATTTAAAACTCTCGCGACTTCAACACTTGAGCACAATGGTTTAGTTGTGAGGTAGCCCTTCGCTTTAGATCTAGGATTTTGCTCTCTTCAACTTTCCATGATCTTCTTTCGCAAGAAATCATCTGGACACCATTCAGAATCATAATGATGGAAACCATAGTGATGGGTTCATGAGGTCCATTTTTT